TAATTAGCCAAACAGGCCCTAACATCTGCAACTAAGTTATTTTAACATTATTCCAACACATACATTTTGTCAAAGTAGTATGATAGAGTGATCTCATTACATCTAATGATAGTAATGTGTAACTGATTTATTATTATCCTGTTTTATTTTGTTGAACAGCTTTTTGTCGACACACAGCTCTTTTCTGTACATACAGATCTCGTTCTCTCCTTTTTCCAAAAAGAATAGCATGGCTATAACAGTAGCCATGGAGGTACAATTAAAGTATCTTTAAAGCAAGTTGTAATTTGTGATGTTTCTTTTACATTATATTTATAATTTATTTTATTCCCTATTGGTGTTATAATATCAATATGTTACCTCTTTGTCCTCTATTAACTCCCTTCCTCTCAACTTAAGTAAATACCAATTTAAGTTTCTCTGGCTTGTAGCATATTTGGAAACCATTTTTTTATCAGTAACAGGTCAATTTTTTGATGCTTTAAGACTATATATTATGTATTTACAACAACTATACATGCTCTGTAATACAATGAAGTCAGCCCAAGCTACTACCAACTCCAGGTTGAGCCCCACAAGATTTACAAATCAAAAACTATTCCTTACCCCTGTGGGTATTCACTGTCTAGTAACTTGGTAATGAGTCTATAGGTCGTGGAGCCTTTGTTCTTCTGTTTTTTTATTTTTATTTTTATTTTTATTTTATTTTTCCTCTCTTTTGAATAAAATAAACATGGTAATGAGTTTGCAAGAGAGTTAGCTGACCAAGAAATCCAGGTACATTTGCCTGTGGCATGTTTATTCACTTTAAACCATCCAAACAAATATAGTAAAATTCTGAGGTTTTGACCTTGGATACATAATTGCATCTTGATTCTTTGTTAGCTGATCTAGTAGATAGGATCCATCAGATGGCCTTGATGTTGGTGAATTTGAGGGGTCCTGGGCCATCTGATTGATCCTGTGTCCCTAGACTCAGTCACTCGGAGATAAATCCTAGGATTACATTCTTGGGTCAAATAGTCAAACTTCAACCAGTTGTACAAAATCAGCTCCTGTTGATCATCAACAGAATCTTTGCCAAAGTTAACTATTGCACTATCTGATTTTATGGGTCCTCTCATGAAAATCCTTGTTGCAATCCAACAGTTGGAATGTGAAATGAAGTTGCAAATTCTGTTTACTGCTTTTGGTGGTTTGTGGACTTAGGTTGCCTCCATTTTTGCTTTCACCTTTTCTTTGACTCTTCAAAGGGGTTGGTGAATATCCATCCAGTAGGTGGCCTGCTTATTGGATTTGTAGAATATGAATTGATTATCAACCACCAAAGGTTATGCATTTTATAATTGATATGAAATATGCCTGTATTTTTTTTGAGGTTGTCAAATGATTTTTCTCTATAGAATAAACCATGTATTGGCATCGTGGGACTAGATTGATCTCCCAATGGGATTGCTATGTTGTACAATTTAGCAGCAAATCAATGAGCAGACGTTCATGGAATTATCCATTTATGAGTCACGGTCATAGACACGGGCGAGAAATCCATTTCTTTGACTGAAATGGGATTGACAGAGTATAGTTGCCGTGGTACTTGTCCATTTTTTCCACCAGAAGTTGAAGACTTTATTAAATTTTAGAACTTGTGTCCTTAAATCTGTGTAAATGATATATTACGTGAAAACTTATCTATCATGCTTCTATGGTCGTTACCATCTTGTCTTCCTACTAGTTGATTTTGAGTTTGAGCATGCAGCCAAAAGCTTACAGCAGTTAAAAATCATTTTGAAAACTGTCGCAAGTACCAGTGGCCCTTCTCTCCGTCTTTGTTTTTTATTCAAAAATATTTTTGGGGGGTGGGGGTGGGGGTGGGGGGAGTGCAGGGAGCAAATTGGCTTGGAGTAGAATACCACACCTTTGGAGTTCCAAATAGGTGTTTCCCCCAATGGAGCTTGAAATTTTGGTTTATGAAGTAACTTATCAAGAAAACATTATTCTCAAGGTTGTTTGAGAGCCATCTTTTGGAGTAAATTGTAAGGCATTTTTTACCATTTGACTTATGTGGTGTCTAATGGCACCGAGCTGTCATAAAGTAAAAATAAATGTTCCGTTCCAATTTTAAGAGTTTCTGGTAAACGGGCAATAGATCTAAACAGTCCCCTAATTTGTTGGCTTTTAAGTTGCTCCACAAGTTTATGCTGTATATCCATATCAGGAGGAACATGGTCTAAAGAGTACAGGTAGAAATAATTGACTGTCTGGAAAGGCAGGGTTTTGCTGATCCTTTACCAAACCAGTGTGAAGAATGGATTGTGTATCCCCTTAAAAAAAAAAGAAAAAACAAAGGTTTATTTTAGGGATGGGGATGGGTCTACCGAGTCCGGATCACCTGCCAACAAAACATGTTCCAAACCTCTACCAGCAAGTTCTCACACATCTCGTACATGTGTGGTGTTAGATCAAGTTGGTAGAGCCGTAGAGGGTTGGAATGTGTTTTGTTGATAGAAGATCCTAACTCAGGTCCCATTTTTATGGTGACATGGAAGTTGGTCGCCATGTCACGTAGGTTGCCACTTCGGACCTCGGTTAGGTCGGTTGTACTTGGTGTGCGGTTGGCCCTTCTGTTGAGGTCCTTGGTTTGCTCCTACTGAGGTGTCCGGTCTGCTCCACTGAGGTGCGTATACCACGTGAGGCTATGTCCTCCTTGGTCTTAGTCGAGGTGATGCTGGGCGTTTGCTCTCTCAAAGCGTGCGAGGGGCATCCGAGGTGGGTCTGAGGTGAATCTAAGGTGTGTTTGAGGTGGACCCGAGGTATGTCTGAGGTGGCTCTGAGTTGCATCCGAGGTGAATATGAGGTGATCCTAACAGACTTGGTAAGGATGCATCACTGTCAACATGGCGATGATGTGTTATGACACGGTTCAGAAGTGCCACATGGGGTGATGTCACTGGAGGGCCAAAGTACCCCTCATTAGTGATCTTGATGGTAATTTTGCAAAACCAATGTTTTCAATAAGTTGTTGACTTTGGCCGATTGAACTGTTACCCAACCTTGATATTGGGTTTTGTTCTATTAAAATCTGCTTGTTAGTAAAAAATGTTGACCTGGTCATCGGGTTGCAGGTTGCATATTCAATGTATATGCAAACTTCTAGAGGCCATACCTTTGCACTTTGATATATGATTGGGGTGATCTTTTTTTTTTTTATCTTGGATTGCTTTGTGAGATCTATGAGCCTTGCCCCATTATTTTTGCCAAAAGACCCATTTTTGGGCTTCAAATTATAGTTTTTTTAGCGTTTTTTAATTTTTTACAAATAAAAAAATTACATCTCAAAAATAATTATATATAGGTTGGACCCACTCGGACGGTCAGACCGGTGACCCGTAACCCAGACACAAAAGTGGTTTGGCCTCCGAATCGGTTTTCAAAACATTGTGCAAAACTTCCTCGAGCTCTTAAAATTTAAATTCCTCCAATGTAGTATCTATTCCATGTTCTCTTTTCCAATGAAATATTTATTCCGAGGTTTATATTATTATCTCAGTGTTAATCTCCCTTGCTTTCAAGAATCTCAACAAAGTATGATAGTCATCATTCTTAGGGAGTAACAACTCCTTGGATTCATGGACTGCAGGTTTTTTAAAGAGAATGGGTGAACTTGCTAGAAGCACTTATGGATTTCTTCTTGAGAGATCCTATTCTTGTTCTGCGCCTCTCATCTTTGGAGATGTCCACATCTTTTCTTTTTGGACAGGGATAATGGTCCTTTTCTCCATGTTGAATAGATGACCAAAACTCTCAGGGGCATAGAAGGACAAAATAGGATTTTAAATAATTTAAACGAGTTTATATGAGATGATGGGAGGGTATGTTTAAATCTAATTGAAAAACTCAAGGTATGTGTATGTTTAAATCGTGATGGTTCTGGTTAATTTTCTTGTCATTTCCACCTATTTGTATCGACAGTATTGGCAATGAATCGATGACTATTGCTTCTTATGGGCCTATTCTCATCCGAAAAGAACGATACCTTCTTAATAGAATGAATCCTCAGACATTCTTTGTAAGGAGAGAAGGTATGGGAGGGAGTAGGGAGTAGGATCGTCTTCACCATGGTGTAATTTCTTTGTCCCCTACAAGGAGTAAAGGATGGGTAGAACTGTAGAAGGAAATAACATTGAACCATGTGGTAGACTTAAGAACTCTAATCACGTCTAGGACCTGTGGCCTGATTGCTTTTCAAACGTTCTACTCCACTAAAGTTCTCTTGATGAAAGATGGGTATAGGAAGATACGGTTCTTTGTCGGTCTTACTGATGTATGTATGAACTATGGAGTCTAGGTTGAAGACTTAATTCCTCCACCAACTTTGTATTTTTTACGTCGTCTCTGAAAACTAAACAGGATGTGATCAAGTTAATTACTTTCCCATCTTCTATGACTGCTCTGCAGATACTCGGAGAACAAGGTTTTTTGTTGGGTTATTAATTTATTATCGGGCAAAAGCAGGTTAATTAGTTAAAACACTCACGATAACATAAAGACAGTAGTTTATAAATTCCTTGCACTCTCTTTATTGAAAAGTAAAAGTTAAAGCTGCAATTATTTATAACCACCGAATTCAAATTTATATAATTCTGCAACTGATATCTTCTGAATCTGCTGGTTTCGAGCAGCAAGCACATACTGATAGTCTGACTGATACTGTGGAGTGGAGGCTTGTACTAGTTTGCTCCATGTAGGCACCTTTGTAGAGTTCTTCAATCATTCTATCCAAACAAGTACACCAAATGCCCAAGAATTTCTTCGTTGTAGAGTTGGTTCTTCAGTCGTTTGCAACACAGGTTGATATCTTCATTGGGGTTTCATCTGAGGTAGCTTATAGGCACAAAAGTAACTTCGATCCATCAGTAGGTTTTATGGTCAACTGTTGTTAACAGACTGAAAACTAGCCATCAACTTACACAGCTCAACATGGTCTCTGGCCAGCTACATCAGGTTCCAGGTTTTGTGCGCTCCCTATATTTTCTTTAGTTTATTTCAAGTGAAGTAGTCAGGGTTGCAGTTTCTAAGCCTTGGTTTATTGGGTTTTGGTGCAAATTTCTTTATAAAAACTTTATGTTTGGATACACGTTTTCCTATAAACATCTCTGCTAGTTATATTTTTCTGACGAACGAAAGATTCGACAGTATTTTGCTTTTTTGTTTCTCTGCTTTCCAAAAGACACGCAACCAAAATCAACATTATCTGCTTATCTTTCCTTGTCGCCTGAGTCCTGACTGTTAAGTTCAATTCAGTTCTTACACCCACATTCTTGACTGCGTCTGTGTCACCAAAAAAATGTATATCAGATTCAGACTCAACAATGATTAAGTGATTTTAATTAGACAATTCGTTCGCAGATCTTTGAAACGGGTTCAAGCTTTAAGTAAACACAACCCAGATAATGTCACCATTTGATCAAATTTGGAGAGGTAAATGTTTTCAGTTGATTCATATAAAGCTTTTTTGTTCCAATCAATGGCTATATATCCTTCATGGTGATACAGATTACACTACACAGAGTCCTATATATATAGTGGGGGCCGTTGGAATGGTCCGAATACTCCTAACTGTACTTATCAGGTCAGGACTCAGGAACTCAGAATCTCGACCACGCCTTCCGGTTATAGTGATCTAGGCTCGTTTGAAAGACGACGTACTCTCTCTCTTTCTCTCTCAGGACTCAGGAGTCAGATCTGAGGCTCTGAGCTAACTCAAAAGCTTAGTTTCTTCCCTGCTGGCCGGTTTGGGTTGGGTCCCACTTTAACCCTTGTCGGTTTTCTGCCCACTGGAGTTGGTACCTGCTAGTGCTAGCCTAGAATGCCAAAAAAAAAAAACAGGGTCAGTCGGGCCTACTGTGCCATTGGTCCTACTACCACTCTTTGCTTTGCGCTCAGACTCAGCCGCTCACGGCTCACCATCGGAAGTCGGTCCAACTCCAACCTGGCCCATGTGTGAAATTCCCCAAAACTCCATCTGCCTCCTGAATCCTGATCATGTAAGGCACGTGCGATCTCACTACAACCGTTGGATCTGCTAGCGCAACACGTGTCGCTTCGGAAATCAGTGGTTGGCAAGAGCTGCCTTGCGTAATGACGAAGTTACCCTTCTTGTTTAGATTAGAACAAAGGGTTGTTGGGTTTTTAATTTTGGGGTGTTGAGGTTGAGGTCAGTCAGATTCCGATAGCTAGAAGACCGTAAACGACTCAATTTGAGTCAGTGACTCAGGGAATCAGGGTGGTGGTCAAAAGACTCAAAACTCGAAAGTACGAAAGGAAGGGAAGAAAGGGTTTGAAAATCAGTGAAGTGTAAATGCATGTGGTACGAACACCTGGCCAACTAAAGGAATTCGAGAAGAAAATATATTATATATAATAAAGAAGAGGATGCATGCATGCAGCTGCATGCAGCATGGTTGAAGAGAGCAGAAATGGTGGAAATGAAATTGAGGAGAGTTTTTTTTTTTTTTTTTTCTTTTTTTGAGTTTTTAATGGAGTGGAGTGGAGTTAATAAAGTGGTCCGTGGTGGGTGGTACTAAAAAGAAGTGGGTACGTAGTCCATGTGTCGTCTGTGAGCCAGAAAGTGTTTACAGCGTTAACACTGCACTTGCTCTTACAAAATCTGCCACCTCTCGACAATGGAGTTGCAGGCCACTTTAATTGAAACCAAACAAAGCAAAACCTCCTTCTGCCCTATAATCTCTCTCTCTTTCTCTCTCTCTCAAGTCACAATACCTGCTGTTGTCCCCACATCCTCAGTGCAATTACCATAAGCCCTAATTAATATCATCCTAGTTTATTAAAATAGGGTATTTATTTGATGGGTCCTACTTTTACTTATCAGTTAAAACACCTTTTCTTTCTTTTTTTTTTTCACTTAAAAAAAAGAAATATGATTCTAGTGGAAGTAATAGCTTAAGTTCCATTATTAATGAAATTTAGATAATGCAATAATGTTTTCATCTAAAAAAATTCATTTCAGGTTTTCTCGTCAAGAAAAAGTAAATAAATAAAGACAGAATTGAGATGATAACAGGCTATGGTCTCAGCTAAAAGTAAAACCCCCTAAAACTCATAATTTTTCCAAATTGAGAAGTCAAAATGTAAGTGCGTTGAGGGCCTGAGGTGAAAAAAAAAACAACATTAATTTAAAAAAAAAAAAGTAAAAAGGAAAAGTAGAAAAGGAGTGAACCGTACAATCTTCTCAGGCCGGAGGAGGCAGGCCTCAACCCTCAGGGAGTCAGGGTCCAGTCCTCTCTCTACCTCCCTCACCCACGGTGTGACGCACACACACTCCATCTCTCTCGCTCAACAGTCTGACTCCGACTCTCGTATAATAATAGTTTCTTTTTTTTTTTTTGTCGATCACTTTTAATCTCTCTCTCTTTCTCTCACTGTCTCCTTCGAATTGTTTATGGGTTTCCGTAAAGATGGCAGAGACAACAGCAACAAAGGCAGTAGGGCAGAAGCAGAAGCAACAGAGCTGCAGTCATACTAAGCAGACTCAAGAGACGTGGCAGCAGCATCATCAGAGCCATTAGTTTATCCATGCACAGAAGATTCTGCAACCAATAGACTCTGAATAAAATACTCCCCCTCCAAATCCGCCATTCTCCCTCTCACTCCCCCCCGACCGTCCCAAATATCAACCAGCTTAATATCTGTCTCTGAAGTTCTTGTTTTTACTTTCTTCTTCATCTTGCTCTTTTGAGATCGATCGTTGTTTCTTTTTAACGATGAGTGCAAGAAGCGGGTCTCCTTTCACTGCATCGCAGTGGCAAGAGCTTGAACATCAAGCTCTGATATTCAAATACATGGTTTCAGGAGTTCCCATCCCACCGGATCTCATCTTTCCTATCAAACGAAGCATGGACGCTTCAGTCTCTTCAAGGCTGTTTTCTCACCAACCTAGTAAGAAAATGAGGATTATCGTTTTCTATTTCTCTACGACAGCTTTTGTCTTGAGTCGTTTTTTCCGTGCATCTTTCTTATTTATATATATATTTTTTTGGTAAAAATGGGATCTGGGTATCTGTTGTTGCAGTTGGGTGGGGCTGTTTTCAGATGAGTTTTAGCAGGAAAGCAGACCCCGAGCCAGGGAGATGCAGGAGAACGGATGGAAAGAAATGGCGATGCTCGAAAGAAGCATGCCCAGATTCAAAGTACTGCGAGAGACACATGCACAGGGGTAGAAACCGTTCAAGAAAGCCTGTGGAAGTTATTACGGCAAACACTTCTACAACAATCTCATCAATACCCATAAACCCCTCCGCCATTATCAACAACTCCTCTGCAAATTCCTCTTCTTACTCCCTTCCTTCACTCTCTTCATCAGTTGCTGCTGAGACCAATCACCAACACCATTCTTATTACAACATCCCACATCATCCCTTCCTTTATCCCCATTCGTCCTCTTCCAGACCTCCTGGCAATGGGTTCTCGCTTCAAAACAACTCCAGTACCCATTTGTTCTTGGACTCTGGATCTTACTCTCAGGCCGACAAAGATTACAGGTTTGTATAGACAAAATTACAAAACTAACGGCTCAGTCCTCTCGAAAACCCACCAATGGTATACTAATTTTTCTCTAGTTATCTGAACAAAAAGAACAGGTATTTTCATGGATTGAAGGGAGAGGTGGATGAGCGTGCTTTCTTTTCAGAAACTTCTCGGACTGCTAGGAGTGCACCGGATTCATCGCTTGATAATTCCTGGCGATTTACACCGCTAGCTCAATCCAAACAGAGGAGCTGCTCTGCTTTACAAGGTGACTACTCTCAGCCGCAGTTGCAAAGCCTTACTGATATTTCGAAACAGCAAAAACAGCAGCAAGAGCAGCACTGCTTTGTTTTGGGTGCCGACTTCAAATCCGAAAGGCCGCAGAAGATGGAGAGAGAAGAGGAACCCCAGCAACCTCTTCGCCACTTCTTCGACGAGTGGCCACCAAAGAGCAGAGACTCGTGGCTCGATTTGGAGGACGACCGATCCAACCGGGCCTCATTCTCCACAACCCAGCTCTCGATTTCCACTCCTATGCCATCTCTCGACTTCGCAATCTCCAATTTCCGAACCCAGAATGGTAATTTCATTCTCCTTCAAGTGTGTTGTTGATTCTGCATTTCTTCCTCCTACTATATTCCGATTAAAGTTTGCAACTTTTTTTTTTCTTAATGCAGATGGTTGAATTTGAAGAGAGGGTTTCTGAAAACAAGGTGATGAAATTTAGTACTTGTTAGTGGGGGATCATTGCTTTCTCTTCTTGGTTTCCCAATCTTTGTCAGGTCTGAGAATTGCTTCTTTCTTTTGATCTCCTTGAGATTTGGTTGAATAATGTGTCCCCAGGAAGATTCCACTTCCTTTTTTCTTCATTCTGTTTTTTTTTTTCCTCCTGAATTTTATTTTACTTCATTTTCTAATGAACACTGGATTCATCTATTATACTTCTTCAAGCCTTTTGTTTTGAAATAGAGGAACCCAACACAGATGTGCTAGTGTCACGAGGAATGCGAAAAGACACCACGAGACAAGACAAAACCAAAAATTGCATAAATTCGTTGTTTACTATATAGAATTTCTTTATTTCTTGCTGGTTCAGTTTGGAAAGAGAACAAATATGCAAATACATACAAAATAGTACAAAATATACTCCTTCCAAACTAAGCCAGATCTGGAAATAGAAGCAAAAGAAATATTGTACGTGGCAAACTAGCAATTGTGATAGTCAGGTAGGTGGGATTGGAAAAAGTACTCCCCTAGTGGTTCCTATCCCCACCATTTGGCCGTGAAAAACAATTCGGGCCAAAAAACTGTTATTGATCGAACACAATTCACAATGGGATGGATGTGGACCACCGGATTAAACACATGGACCAATCCAGAGGATTCGGATCTGATGAGCTGATCAGATCGGTTACATGATTCCTCCACGACCCACGTATCTAAAATGGATTAGGTTGTGTTTGGTAACTTCCTATATAGATTAGTAATCTTTGAATTTTAAAGCTTAAACTACCGTGTTATTTTTTGCCCCTCCCCCACCGAAAAAAAAAAAAGAAGCAAAACTAGGGTTTCAAAAAAGGCGTTGCATGATTTAATGTATCAGTCAACATTTTTTTTGACTTCTTCTATTTGATGGTACTAAAAAAAGGCTTAGCTTCTTATTTGTGACATTACATTGTGTGGTTCAAAAAATATTATTTGCAAAATCATGAACCAAACACCACCTTAAATTCAAATGAAACCCTTTTGGCTGTGTTTGGTTGCAATGCAAATAAATTTGCATTGATGCAAAACTATGGCAGTGCAAATAATTTCAGTGTAAATTCTAACCTATTTTTGTTTCAAAATTTAGCTTATCTTGTTTGATTGTAGTACAAATGAAGCAGAATAAAGTAAAGTTCAAAACCAAATTAAATGAGAATTTGCACTTTTTTTCATTTACACTCCCATACATTTGTACTAGTGGAAATAAAATTGCACTGCAGCCAAACACAACCATTATGAGTGATTCATTTGGGACAAATTTAAATGCAATTTACACCTTATGAATGCTTACTCCCTCTAATAATCTGCCCTTCAATTTTTGACATACTGCATCTTTGACACCTCTCCTAAAACCTCCCTCTACATTTTGAATAAATTATATAAACTGATCCCTTCTGCCAGTTTGCCGTTGAGATGTTAATAGAAAAAGATGATTTCATACTTTTAAATGTTAAAAAATTTTGATTTTTCCCATTATCATCACATGATCTCGGGTTGGTTACATGAATCTTATCAAGGAATCCTAATATATCAATTATAAAATTAAAAGAAGAGAAATAATTAGTTGATCATTAAAATAAGTATTTCTTTAAACATTTCACACTGAATATAAATTATTAAAACATGTTTTCTTTATGTGTTTTATGTATTATTTATGGTAATTTGTATCATATTTAGTATTATTATTGTATTTTAGGTTACGAGTTTCCTTAACATATCTTGGGTGCCTTTTTAATATTCTCTACATTTCTTTTCTGATACTTTGAACCTTAATCCATTAATTTTAGGAATGGTGCATCGGATTTATGACTTGGTGACTAAGTTCCTGAACAGGAGAATATTTTAGATTTTTAGTCGTCCACATTGAAGAATGATGATGTTAGTGTACATCCATCTCATTAACAGTGATGATGCCACCACCAGAATGTTTTAAATCTTAACACATTTAATATTTTTCCCAAAACCAAATACTATAAAAATTCTTTACTTTCTATAAAAACCCTACCTGGCCCTGTTTCCCTGTCTTGTGGTATTATCTCTCTCACCCTCACCCCATCTTGAAAACCATTGCTGATCTCACCAGCTGCATCTAAGGTTTTTGTTAAGTACTTAGAACTACTTTTGTAGCCCTTCCCCCCAAGCATTCTCTGATTATCCAATTTTGAATTCTAATTCGATCCTATTAAGAATTACCCTAATTTGATCCGTTTATAATTGGATCAAATATGGATATACTCATATCCGATCTGATAATAGTTCGATTCAATTCGATTTAAATATATATGCTCATATATACTTAAAAAACATATTATATTTGTGAATGAAGTTTGTCTTAATGTTGTATTTTCACTAAATTGTCATATGTTCAAGTTTATTCAATTCATTTTATTCATAAAAATATAATGTTAAAGTCATTTTTAGCTCATCTTATTAATAATATATAATATTTTGGTCATTTTTAGTCTAATTTATTTATACTATTTAATATCCGATTATAATCCAAATTCAATTCGAATCTGCTACATATCCAATAGATATGATCTGATAATATAATCAAATCAAATTTGGATATGCCTATATCCAATTTGATACAATCCAATCCATTTGCAGCCCTAGCTAAAAGTACTTGATGCCAATAGGATAAGAAAAAAAATCAACTAAAGATATGAAAAAAACCCAAAAATACCTTAAGGGAGTAAACTCCCATTCTAGATGCAATAAAGCTAGAAACTTTTTTCATAGTTAATAAGCTTTGATGGTTTGGCCAGGATCCCATTCTTTTGAACTAGGTTTCGATGAGGCTGTGTTTGGTCTGACAGAAAATAAATGCGAAACTGAAAATTGAGGGAAAATCCATAACTTAATTTTCTGTTTTTCACTTATTTTCTATCAAAACAAACATAGCCAAGGAGAGTCACGAAGAATCTTTAAATATTTAGGCCATGTTTGAGAGTGCTTAAAAATAAGTGTTTATTTGGGCCGTTAAACACTTATTGGTATTTGGGAAGTAAGTCCAAAATAAGTGTTTATTTTAAAAATAAGGGCTTATTTTTTAAGCCCAAATTTCTAGCTTTTTTTAAGTGTTTATACAATAAGCATTTATTCAACTTTTTTCTTCCAAAATTATCCCTAGTTAAATTTTAAAATACCACTTATAAAATGATCCCTAGCTGAATTTTATAAAAGCACTTTTACAAAAGTATTTTTATGAAAGTACTTTTACAAAAGCACTTTTAAGATTAATTTTATGAAAGCATTTTTACAAAAAAACACATGAAATTACTTATACGAAAGCACTTTTGTGAAATCACTTTTACAAAAGTACTTTTATAAAATCACTTTTTATGAAAACAACACTTTATAAAAGTATTTTTATAAAAATGCTTTCTTAAAAGTGCTTTGAAAGGGTATATTTTGAAAATTTACAAGAAAATGAAGGACAAAATAGCCACAAATGCTTATTTAAGTGCTTACTAGAGAAAAAGACTATCAAACATCCAATATAAAATAAGTGCTTATTTGCATAAGCATTTGTTTTTAAGCATTTATTTTTAACTTAAGCACTCCCAAACATGGCCTTAGAATCTCCAAGTCTATCTTTGTTCCTTGATAATAAAACATCTCTATCACCTATCCAAAAGACCATTAAGAGAGGAAACGAAAGAAAAAAATAAGAGGCTGTTTGGCAAGTCTTTAGATAAATCATTCAATAGTCTAATAGTCATAGATAAGAAGACACGCTAAACTTTTGTTGTCTGGTCTTTAAAGGCCAAGACTGTTTAGTTTGTATCATGGTCTACCAGACTTAAAAACAGCTAGAAAGGCTATTTTCAGTGCAGAAAGTTCAAAAGCTTCATTTGTCCTTCTGCATGCTGGTCTTTGGGTCTTTCGGTCTATACAATACTAAACAGAAAATGATCATTTTTTGGTCTTTTGAGCTTTCCACAGACCGAAAGATGCACCAAACACAACCTAAATAAAACCATTGAACCGGCCGGTTAGTTACTCATTACGTACTTTGTTCTGAGACGGATTTAGAACTCAAAAGCAAGAAAGTGTCATTGACGAGCTCCATTGTTCCATCAATAAACACTAATTCCACATTGTTTTTCTGCAAATGTGGCAAAAAATTTCAGATGAAATGCACTGAACAACAACGTTCACTTCATTATGAGAACTGGACAGGTTAAGATCGACTATATTCATTATTGACATGTTGCCTTGCCTCTATTCCAACCCGAATTCCAAATTCAACTATGTAACAACTCGTTAAACGCAAACGCATTCAGGGAAAATAAAAGAACATTAACCAACTAGCACTCTTTGGAGAAGCTGAAGTGTTTCGGAAACCCTAACTCGAGAAGAGCTGCATTTTTTTTTACGCCGAAATGGCCAACTTTCATGGCTATCTCGAGAAGAGTTCCATTTTAATTTTTAACTCGGTTTCAACACTCGGAGAATTATTTCATGGGCTTACTGGGTCAAACAGTGGTGTCCTTCAGTTAGTTTTCTTTTGGCCGAGTAAAAATACTAAATAATTTGATAAATGCTGGCATTTAACTCCCTTGATCGTAGGGGTGTCGATAGGACTGGATTTGGTCTAATCCGATCCAGTCAAATGTGAGTCCATTATAAATAGACCAGATCCAATCCAATCCAATGAATAATTTGAGTCATTTTGGACCAGTCCAATTCAATGTTCGAATCGTCCAATTTGTTCAAATTCATTTTAATTTAAATTGGTTTCAACCTAAATCGGTCTAATTCAATAGACTGAATATTGGCTTAATCCAACCAAATCCAATATAAATTTATTACGAACAAACGTGGTCCAGTCCAATCTAATAAATATTTTGAACCGGATTAATCCAACCCACTGTCTTTTTGGTCCATCCAATCCCTATGAAATCCAAATCACCTACTAATAAAATGTCGTTCCAATACCCCCCCAACATGATTTGATATCTCATCATGAGACTCGTGAGACAGATACGTCTGGCTGTTTGGCATTCCCCTGCATGAATCTGCATACTCTATATGCACATTATGAACAGGACACTACAGTGGCACATCAGAAACATTTCTAGTGTTTGGGAGATAGATTTTAGCTGAATTTCCTGCAAGAAAAAAATTCTATTTACATAGCATCCCGTCGTACATTGAGAATATAT